TCCCAAATTGTTTTCCCCTCCCTCCCTCCTACAGACCCCAGGATAAATGGAACCTACCCTCAGGAGGACAGATAACACACATCAGCAGAGAGGGTGGTGAAATGCAGGACTGAAACATTATTTGGATGATGTGTTTCATAGTTTTCAATAACTTAGAAGCTTCTGGAACCAGGACTGAATCACCCAGAAAAAGCTCCTCTCCCTTTCTGTGAACAGTGTTTGGTAAGATTTCCCCACCCTCTCTCCCACCTCCAAAACGCCTTTTGCTCTGATCTCCACGTTCTGCTTCTACACCTTTGCATGTTTGTAAACTGCATTTTTGTAGAAATGCCTCGACTGTTTCATTAAAATGTTATCTCCCTCTACCAATCTGTGCACTTCTGGCTGTCCCTGCACAGTTTCATGTGACTCGGTAACAGGCAGTGACCAATCTCAGCACGCCCTCGCCAGGCTCCTGGGCTGGGCCGGCCGCCGTCTTGACCAGGCCAGGGACTTGCGAAGGGGGGTGGACACTCTTGTCGCCGCCCCAAAGAGCTGAAAGACTGGCAAGTTCTAGTCAGAGAGAACCCCCGAGGGGGATCTGTTACCAGGAGGCAGTGTCCCCATTGTCTTGCCATAGGAGGGATTGTGCAAAACAAGGGACATGTCATCACAGGAAAATAAATCACTGGGTCCCTTTGGGCCCCTTTGATGAAAGACTGGTTTGACCCACTGGGTTTGGACAGCCACTTGCTGCTGACTTTTAGAAGTTTCTGGGCCCAAGTCTCTGTCTTTCTAAAGTAAGTCCTTGCCAAATGTTCCAGTGATATTTCTAAGGAAGGGGTAGGTTTGGGGGGTGGGGTGGTTAAACGCGCAGGAAACCACATCTTTAGTGCAAAAGCTATTTTCTGCGGGACCAGCCCGATCCCATGCCTTTGGCTAGGCCACAGTTGCCAGCTGGGAGAGATGGGGGACACAAGTGTCCTCCACCCACGTTCTCTGGACCACTCCTTCACAGCCTTCCCCAGGCCCCAGACCATGCTCTCCAAGACGGCCAAACCGTGGGAAATCTCATTTAGCTCCTTGCCTGGCCAGGGGCTCCTTGGAGGTCTCTGCCAGCACTGGTGGAGACCACAGAAGACTTTGGGAAAGATTTCCTTTGCTGAACACACAGACAACACGGATCCGGGGCATTTTTGGTTTTTGGTGTTTATTTTTTAAACCCACTTGTAGTCTGGGTTCAGCTGGAAAGCAGGACATACTGAGAGAGGGAACGTGGTCGCGTGAGGAGGAGTCTGCTGCGGCTGTGGCGGGAAGGCCCAGGCCCCTTCTCCAGGGAGGTAGGTCCCGTCGCCAGGCTCCCAGCTGGCTCAGGCGAGGTGGGCAGCCCTTGTACGCCAGTGTCCCACGCAGAGGAGCGGTCTCCTTTGCGATCTGCATCCTCGGAGGCCCGGGCAGAGGGCCCCACGAGGCGCCAGCAGCTGAGGCACAGGTCTCTGTGGGCAGGCCCTGAGAGTCTGTCACACGAGGAACACTGGCCGGGTCCTGATGCCAGAGACTGGAATGTGGCGTCTGGGGTGGCCCCATGGGGCTGCTCCTCGCGGCGGCCTGGCTGGCGGGGTCCCCGCCCCTGCAGCTGCCCAGGGCGTGATCAGTGGTAAATTTCCCACACCCCACCCCCATCCCTCAGAGAAAATAAAATAAAATAAAAATTAGAATAAATACCGACTCGGCCAACATTTACATTTACACGGATGGACAGGGCGATCCCTAAACCTCGAAGGTTTACAGACTGATCGAGGAAGGACGAACAGATGAAACTGGGCTTGGGGTGCATGTTCCCCACGGAGGATGGTGGGGTTCCCACCTTCCCTGGGGGAGGTTAGGAGGCTTCTTGGGGCTGCGGTCCCAGAGCTCAGGCAAACCCACGAGGCCAAGGGGAGCAGGGCTGTGGTGAGCGGGCTGGCCGCCTGAGAGGAAAGCAAGGACTATCTGGTCTTGACTGGGAGGGGGGACAGACTGAGACAGGATCAACATCAGATGGCCGGACTTCGCCTCTTCACTGCGCCAAGAAAGCCGCGGGGTGAGTAGGGAAAACAACACAAGCCTTAGAAATGCAATATCCAGTTTTGCCTCCCATCAGATACATTCAGAGGTCAACTTGGATATGGCCTTTCTCACTCAGCAGAGGGGGGTCTGGCCTGGGGAAGGACTAGGGGTCTGAGGGGCGCCCACTTCTGCTCCCTGGTTCCTGTCTCCCTGGGGAGGCGGCCTCAGAGTCACAGATTTTAATGCTTTACTGTTTTTTTACTGTTATTTCCTTAAAAAAAAAATTTTTTTTTAAATGTTTTCCTTCCATGTCCCAAAGAGTAGCAGCAACCTGCATTTAGAAAAACAGCTTACATTGTTATTTGGATTGGCCAGGAAGCACTTTCAAGCAATGGGATAAACTAGGCAAACCATATGTCTGGAGCCACCGTGACACGACACGTAATTAAAAATATATTTATATATGTATACATATTTATATCTTACTTCATCATACTCTGGTCCTAACAGTCAAGGAGGGGTGGCCCTGAGGCAAGACCACCAAGGAGGCCGTTAGGAGGAAGGGGCGTTAGGAGGAAGGGGCATGAGGCTCATGGCGCCCACCATGCCACTGATCTCGGCTTTGCAGGGAACATCAGGCCCTGTGTGCTCGCTCTCTGCTCCATGGAACGGGCAGGAGGCCCTGTTCCCCTGGGTCATTCCCTTCCTCTGGGGCCCTGCTTTGTTCTCAGCAGATGCGCTCACATGCGCGCGCGTGCGCGCACACACACACACACACACACACACACACGCACACCTCGCACTCACACTCAAGGGGAGCTAGGCCCATTTCAGCCCCGACGCAGTTCTCTGAGGGCTGCCTGGGGGCGGCTCTGTGCCTGGCGGAGGCTGCCTGACTCCTCCAGACCACGAGGTCCCTGGTGCCCTCTCTGAGTCCTCCGACCTCAGTCCAGCTCTTCCCTCAGGGCATCCCGTGGGGTCCCTGGTGTCCCTGGGCCCCACGTGGGCTGAAGGTGCTTGCTGAGGAGGAAAGGCAGTGAGGAGAAGCTCAAGGAGGGTCGAGGAGGTGAAGGCCAGGGGCCGAGGCTACAGACCCATTCCAGGTAAACCTGTGTCCCCCACACATGTCCCCAGTACGCTCTGCCTTGGGACCGGCATAGGCTCTCATCCCGGGGCTGGAAGGTGGGTGGCAGCTGGTGGGGAAAGCCAGGGAGTACGGGGGGACCCGCTCCCCTCGCCCCACCCTGCCTGCTCTCCGAGAAGCAGAGTCCACAGAGGAAAACTTCCAGCCCTCAACCCCTGGCCAGCCTGAGTGGACCAGGCAGCCAAAGCCCTCCAGTGACCCAGGGAGCCCAGAAGCTGCTGGGCTCTGAGGTGGTTTTACGGGGGCTTATCAAAGTATGGGCTCCAGGCCCCAGAGCTGGGGCTGGGCAAATGCCCGTGACAACCCCAAAGCCAGCTTCCTAGAGCCTGACTTGCATTCTCCTCCAACAGAGAAGGGGCTCTCCCCAGGACCTGGCCCTTCCAAGGAAGCCCGGTCTCGCTCGTTCCTGGCCTGGAAAGATGCGTCTGGTGGCCCCGCCGGCTCAGTTCACTGTTCTGCTCATGACTCAGTGAATGCACCGGCCCCCCCAGCCCCGGGGCTGCAGTGCCCAGAGCCCTTCTGGAGCATACAGACCTTGGCTGTGGGGGGCCTCGGCTTCTGGATCCTGCCTGTGATGAGGCTGGGCCATCAACACAGCCCATTTAGCTAAGCTCCAAGTCCTGGGGAGCCAGGCAGCCCCCAATGGCCACTTTCCCCCCACTAAGCCGGGGACGAGACCTGTGTGTGGCGCAGGCAACATCACCTAGCGTTTTGGTTTTAATTTGCCCGTCTTGACTGTGTCCCATTCACCACAAGCCTCCCCCCACCCCCCAGCCCCAGCCAGGACGGGGTTTAACACACTCCTGGCGCCTGCCGCAGCATCAGCCCTTTGACAGAGCAGAGCAGGAAGAAGAGAACAGAGGTCCTGGGAGCCAAGGGCTGCGGAGCACAGGGTTCCAGGGGGGACCCCCCGCCGGGGCAGAAGTTTCCAATTACCCTAATTGGCCACTGGCAAGCTATCTGTGGCTAGAATCCTTCCAGAGGGGGCCGGGTTTGATCTTCCACTAATCAGGGGGTCCTCGTGGTGCTGACTGTGTGATCACAGCTCGGACTCTTTTCATGGAGAGAGGAGACTTCAAAGCAGCTGACTTTTGAAAATAAAACAATAAAACACAAGAGCACGAGCAGAGCCGCACACCCCAGCTCCCCTCCCTGCGCCCCGCCCCTGGGCCTGAGGCTGGGGGGCCACATGGAGGAGGAACGGGGAGTGGGGAGGGTGCAGCGTGCAGGTTAGAGGAGAAGCCTCCGTCCCCCAGGCCGAGCGTGGCGGACAAAGGCCGTCAATTACAGGCGGCTGGTGGGGACCGTGCCTGCTTTTGTCCTCCCGGACATCTGCTCTACGTCGCCTGCTGCCAGTTGGCGACCGCGGCTGACAGCAGGAACAATGCAAGCCCGTCTCCGACCCACTTTTTCAGCCTTCTGAGGTCCTTTCTGACCCAAGCGGTACCCCGGCGCGCCGAGCTGCCAGGGCCTTGGAGGAGTTACGCGATGAAACCCGTCACACAAAGCCCTGTGGGGGATGCGGTTGATGGGAGGGGGTGGGGAGGAGCGGAAGTGGGGAGGAGACGACGGGGGTTGGGGGGGGCCACCATGAGAAAGAAACATGCTTCCCTTATTGGTGTGAGCTGCCGCATGCGTGGGGCTGGGGGGGCTCGGATGAGGGGCGCTCCTCCTTCCCTGTCTGGCTCCAGCCTGGCCCCCGGCTCTGCCTGCTTTCCTCCCCACTTCTTTCTCCCGCCAGGGCCACCCCTGTCCTCCCGCCTGTCCATCTGGCCCTGGGTACCAGGGCCCCAGCTGCCCGCGGGCCGCCCGCCAGGCCCCCTGGCCATCAGGCTGTCAGTTTCTGGATGGTTCTGTTGTAGTACTGCGTGATGGGGGGCGTCAGAGGGTTCCAGCTGTTGGCATGGAGCTCGATGACCTCCAGAAGCAGCGACCGGGTCAGCATCGACTCTGAGGGGCAGAGCATCTTGTCGCGCGCGCTGGCCAGGAGCTCGGTCATCATCTCGGGCAGCTGCTCCTCCAGCAGCCGGCCTGTGCTCTGCAGCTGCGGGTGGGGAAGCGGGGCTTAGGACAGGACCTGTGCCCCCGGAATGGCCCCCTGAGCCACCCTGGTTAGGAGGGCCGGGGGCAGGGACAGGAGAGAACTGGATTATCTCTGGAAGGTGCAGGCCAGGCATCTGTGCCCCAAGGAGGACAGGAGGTGGAAGGAGTCAACTGTGAAAGCCCACGTTGACCGACTGATCTGCCGCAGGATTAAGAGGGATTGGGTTATTGCCTGCTCCCCGAGGCTGCAAAGAGCCCTCACCGGGACCATGCCACTTCTGTCTTTCACCCAAGAAAGACTCACCCTCCTACCGGAAGCCTTGCCTGACCCCTGCCCAGACTCTCCATGGCTGACCTGCTCCCCTCAAAGGTGATCAGGCTGCACTGTGTTAATTTCCACTTGGTAGGATGTCTCTCTAGAAACGAGCTTGGTCATTATCACTTGCACGTCTCTGCACGGAACCTGAGAGCAGGGTTGTGGTCTCCTATTTCTCTCCTGCCCCTAATCCCACCTCCCAACCCCAGCACTGAGCTCTGCCCACACTTGTGACATGAAGTGCAGGAGGGAAATATGAACCGGGGCAGAAGGCCAGCCAGAGGGCCCGCCCTCAAGAGAGGCCCCTGATGATGCTGAAAAGCTGCTGTAGGGAGGAAGGGGTCCCAGTGGTGGTCTGGATCATGCAGCCTCGGGCAGTAGCCCCTGGGGGTCCTCTCCACAGTATCTCGATCGCCATCTCTGCCCCCACCCCATCTCACCCCACCCATTTTTCAAGGCTCTGCCTTCTTCATGAAGTCCTCATCGACCTCCCTGGACCACCCTGATCTCTCTCCTCTGACTCCTCAGGGATGCATGCTCTGTACCCATACTTCTTCTCTACATGGTGTTGTCCCGATTCACAGCACCTCTGGCCCCCGAGAGCCTTGGGAGTGGCCTGGAGGCCGGGCAGAAACCACCTGAGAGGTGTGCTCACACAGCCCTGACAGGCCCTGGGTGTGTACACAGGAGGCACCTGTCCTCACGGCCACTCTATTCTAAATGACTGGGCTGGTTTCCCAGAGCAAGGTTTGCCCCTGAGGAAGATCCCAGAGGAAGAGTTTCAATGAGTAGTGGCCCCACTTTGGGACCAGGAGTGGTGCCTCCTAAGGGGGTGTTTTGTAGCAGAGGGGGCCAACGTGGGACCTCAGGCCTCAGGCATCTTCCCCAAACCCTGCACCACCAAAGCCAAGGGAGATATTTGGGGGCGGGGGAATCTCTTAAGTCATTTATGTGGTGTGCCTAGTGCAAGGAGAAGGTGGTCTTGGGGACAGAAGGACAGTGCACAATGCCAGCACTTGGTCCTTCTCTCTAGAGAACCAGCCATCTCTTCCTCCAGCTAGTGGTGGGCTGGTTACCCCATCCACATTTACTCTGGTTTGGGGTTGATAATTCTGGATCCATGTCGGCTCAGGAAGCCATTCCCCACCAGCCCCAGCTACACACCCTTGCCTGGGACTTGTGGGTACGTCCGGTGATCCTTCACCGCCCACAACTGTTAGGTGTGAGGGGCATGCCAGGTCTGAGGTCAGAGATGCTTACCTCCATCGAGCAGCACAGGACGGCATCTTCTTTCACATCCTGAGATTGCAAGAGCTGTAGAAAAGAGAGGCAGAGAACACTCCTGATGGGGCGGCATGCCAGCTCCCAGGCCCCTGCAGCTGGCCCCCAGCCTCAGCCCTGATGCAGCCTGGAACAGACATGTTGGAGGGGAGCACCAGGGAGACAGCCTGCGAAGGTCAGAGGGCAGCAGGAACACAGCAATTTCTCTGGCAGGATTTGAGCAGCTGGAGGACCACGGTGGTCATAGAGCCAGGGTGCCCTGGCCAGGTCTGAAGGCTCAGCCATGGTCTCAGGCGCTCCTGGGCCCTGGATTGAGGAGGACTTCCAGAAATCACGGTGCTCTTCTGCAAAACCACGGCTCTGCTGACTTACCCAGAGGCTGGACTTGCTTCCTGACCAAGGCCATGGCCAGCCTGCTTGGTGCTGGGACTGGCCATGCCCCCCATCCAGGCTTCCCTCTGCCTCATCTCATGCCTTCTCTCTCTCAACCGAGATATAATTCACACAACATCCAATTCTCCATTTTTAAGTACACAACTCAGTGACTTTCAATATATTCACAAGGTTGTGCAACCACAGCGTTACCTAACTCCAGAGCATTTCCATCCGCCCCCCCAGCCCCTGGCAACCCTTAATCTCCTTTGTCTCTCTGGATTTGTCTATTCTGGATTTTTCACATAAATGGCATCACACAGCCTGTGTCTTTTGTGACTGGCTTCTTCCATTAACAGAACTTTTTAAAAGATCCCCCGTGTGGTAGCATGTACCAGTCCTTTGTTCCCTTTTATGGCTGAATAATATTCCGCTATATGGAGAGACCACATTCTGTTTACACATTCATCAGCTGATAGACATATGGGCTCTTTCCCCTTTTTTGGCTATTATGAATAATGCTGCTGTGATCACTCGTGTACAGGTTTTTGTGTGAGCGCATGTATTCAGATCTCTGGGGGTCCTTACCTTGGAGCAGAATTGCTCGGTCATGTTGAGCTTTCTGGGGACCAGCGAACTACAGTGGTTGTGCTATTTTGCATTCCCTCTAGCAATGTCTGAGGGTGCTGATTTTTCCACATCCTCACCAATATTTGCTATTTTCTGCTTTTTCATAAAATGTCTGTTTTTCTACTGTTCCCAGTAGAAACTTTCTTGAGGCACAGCTTCAGAGAAGCTCTATAGTCCTGTTCTCCACAAACCCCGTTGACCACCTCTCCCTCTGTCCCCCTGACTGGCTGGAACCGCTTCTCCCAAACCCCTATGTACGTGTCCACTGCCATCCCCCGCCACACTGATCATCACATCCCTAGGAGGACCCTGCATTTGGATGATCTGCCACAGATGACTCTTCCCTCTGCTGGAACTCTCATACTTGCCCACCCTTCAAGGCCCACAGCTTTCCTTGGAGACCTCTGGATCACCCCAGGCCCTGGTGCCCCCTCCTGCTTCTCACTCCCCAGCTTTCCCACCTGCTTAGCATTCCACCCGAGTGAAAAGGCATTTTCCAGTGGGAACTGCTCGCTTCCTGAAGGCTGGGACAGTGCTGTGTTCCTATTTGCCACTTTAACACCTAGCCTGGCCCCTGACAACACTAGGGATTCACTCAATGTTGGTCGATATGATTCATGCATTTTTGTTGTTGTTGTTGTTGTTTGTTAGTTTTAAAGGAAGGGTGGAGGGTAAGGAGAGCACAAGAGGAAGGCACTTTTAGGGTGAGTGTCCTCCTTCCCTGAAGAGAACTGGAGTCAAGGTTTTTGACGCGGGTGTGACGTGTTCAAGCAGAGGTGGAATCACAGGGGGACTATCCTGCTGCTAGCTTGAAATCCGAATTCTGCACATCCTCCTCACCTCTCCCCTTCTCCTGTCATGTTGCATCCATCCACCCAGCCGGGGGCCCTCCCAGCAAGAGCCAGAAGCATTCACCTCAGGAGGGCTGAAGATTCAGGGCGAGCTTCGCTATGTGCCCCAGGGGCGTGCGGGGCATCGAGGCCACAGGAGGTCAGGGGACAGACAGGTCAGTGGTGGCTGCACTGGCCAGAGATGCTCTCAGGGCCCAGGCCCCCTTCCCTGCCCTGCTCTCTCCCTGTATCTGTCAGAACTGGGCTGGCTAGCCACGTAGAAGTCATTTTGGTATGAAGGAACAGAGGTAGTCCTTGACCTGCTCAAATGAAAAGCAAGCGGAGAGCAAGGGACAATCCAGGGGAGGGAAATGGTGCCACCAACACCAAGTGACAGGCGTTGAGGCCACTGGCGTGCACGTTCTACTCACTGACACAGTCCTGACGCCCGGACTTTGTGCTCTCCTCACTGGCCTCTTCAGCCACCAGAGGCTCAGACCTTACTCGCTCGCTTTACTCAGGGCTCTGCCCAAATGTCACGGCACCAGCCAGGCCTCCCCGCACCGGCCTCTGTGAAACCCACCAGCCCCGCTCACCTCCTGGCTTACTTCTTGCTGTCGCATAGCTCACCCCTGACACATTATCTACTTGCTCGTCTGCTGTCTGTCCGCCCCCCCCGCCCCCGGAGAAGGCAAGCTCCACCAGGGCAGGGCCTCTGTTTTGTCCCACTTCGAGGAATGTGTCCTACACATGGACCCGGACATGCCCCATGACACAGACACAAGGTTTTCGCTGCACAATTGTTACGGTAAAAGCAGCAAGGGGACTGGTTAGAGAACTACAATGCGTAGGCATAGTGGGCATCCTGCAACACGCTGCTGACCCTCGCCTCCTACACCCGGATCTGCTTCTGGAGTTTTCTTGCCTCCCGGAGCTGCAGACCCCCAAGGGGAGCCAGGGGAGCCTTCCACCAAGCCAGTGCCTGGTGGGCCTCTGGGAGGCACGCGGGGAAGGGCCTCCCTCCTTTAGAGGACCCAAGAAGCTAGAGTGAAGACCAGGAACCAGGTTCTGGAGAAAGCTGGGGGAGGCGAGTCACCTTGCAGCAGGCCTACCTACAGCATGTGGTCCCCACCCAACCCAGCCTGCTTGGGGAGGGGCTGGTGCACAGACTGGGAGGGGCCCCTGGCCATCTAGGATAGGGTCAGTGTGGGAAAGTGAGCCTAGCCCTGTTTACTCTGCAGGGGAGATCGGGACTCATCTAGAGTAGGAGAACCCTGTGAGGTTTGCTGGAATTTCTTTCTGAACATAACTGTTCCCTAATAGGTTTTCTGTAGCACTTATTGGGAAAAAAAAAAAGCCTTAAAACTGCTGGTATAAATGACAAGAGGGACACCTGGGTGGCTCAGTCGTTAAGCGTCTGCCTTCGGCTCAGGTCATGGTCCCAGGGTCCTGGGATCAAGCCCCGTATCGGGCTCCCTGCTCCGCGGGGAGCCTGCTTCTCCCTCTCCCACTCCCCCTGCTTGTGTTCCCTCTCTCGCTATGTCTCTCTCTGTCAAATAAATAAATAAAATCTTAAAAAAAAAAAAGAAGAAAGAAATGACAAGAAAGGGGGGGAATCTGGAAGAAAGGGAACTCTTAGAGATGGAGTACGTACTAGCAGTTGGGTGGGGAGGGGGGGTCAGGCAGAGCTGGCAGCTCGTGGGAAGAATAGTCCACTCTGGATGCATCTAGCACATCGGCTGACACACAGTAGGTGCTCAAGGGCGCTTGTCGTGGTAAGTTGAAATGCCCCTGGGATCATGTTCTGTCTTGAGATTAGCTTCTTAGGGGCTCCTGGGACAAGAGAGGTAACCTTATGGGAATACTGGTAGGAGACAGGGCCTGACAAGTACTAGATGTTCTGAAAGGTGATGGTTTCTCCCTCCAAGCAGCCCCCTGAGCTGCTGACAGCACGGCGTGCAAAGCTTCCTTGAGCCTCCATATTGTTGCCAGCCAAGCCCCCGGCCCTGGTGAGCAAGTGTCCCCTTCTTCCCATTCCCTGTAGCCCCCCAGGCCTGGCCTGCCCTCTGCTTCCCGATGGAAGCTGGGAGCTGCAGAGCGGGCTCTCTTGTCTTTCTGCTCCTTCTCTTTCTGCCCCGCTTCCTTGCGACTGGGCTACTTCCCTTCCAGTCCCTTCTTCTCCTCTGTGTGCCCAAACTCCCCGGCCGCCTGGCTCTCTCCCTGGAGGCCCTGGCTCCTGGCTAGCCAGGCAGGGGACAAACACAGGGTGGGGTGCTCTGGAGGGCCAGGGTGGCTCGCCTGGGCGCTCAGGCAGAGCTGTGGGCAGGCTCCCAACCCCAGGCCTCCCCTCCAGCCTTATCTTCCACTTGGTTGTTTGGGAAAGTCTGTGCTAAGCCAACAATCACATCGTGTGATAGGCCCTCTTGCAAATGGCTTGCTGGGTTTTCTCAGGGAAGTGGGGGAGGACTGGGGTGGGTCACTACACTGTTCCTTCAGAGTTGCTGGGTGCAGGGATGTGAAGGGAATCTGCCGGGAGGCCGCAGACCGCTTCCTGTTCCCCCTGCAAATGCCGTCCTGGGCTCTCATGACCAGTGTTGGAGAGCAGCATCTCAGAGCCCTAGAGCTGAAGGGGCTTCGGAGAGTGTCCCCCTCAACCTCCCTGGACCCTAACTCCAGAGCATTTTCATCCCCCAGCCCCTGGCACCCCCGAATCTTCGGAAGTCACACCCTGCTGCTCTTTGTGGCGTCACAAGAGGCTGACCTGCACACCCAGGAGCCCTTGACACAACTCCACAGGGGCTCCCTCCCGAGACCCCTTTCACTGCCCCTCTTAGAGGCTCCCATGCATCTAGGCCATCAGCGGCACCCCAAGAATCTGTCCCTACCTGTCGTTTGCAGGCAGTGTCCCAAGTGCGGGATCTTTCCACTCTTTTCCATCTTGGCCAGATTTACCTGTTCTGTGTTCCATTTCTTCAGCACTCTCCTTTTTGCCAAGGGACAGTTTGGGTTTCGATGAACAAATTCCTACTGGTAGGTTGAGGGGGGCCAACGAGCTCTCCTGTTTATGTATGCTCCATTTGCAATCTTTTGGAGATAATGCTTTCTTTTCTTTTCTTCTTCTTTTTTTTTAATTCCAAGATGAATCTCAAAAAGTAATGGCAACTCGAACAGGTACTTGTCCACCCGTGTTCACAACAGGCA